CCCCCCCGTCTTTTTCCCCCCCCCCCCCTTTTTTTTTTTTTTTAATTATTGCTGGCACACATGGATTGCTATGATACAGCTTTCCATAAACTATCTCTGAGAACTGAAAGTGAAAACAAAAGTTAGCATCAATGTGTGTCTGTGTGAATGCATGTATAAAATTTGCTTTTTAGAAGAATTTCTTTTTTCTGGGCCTTTTAGGCAACTGTCTTGTTTAAGATATAAAATGAACAGACAGTCTAGAGCTATTTTTGCCTTGCTGGTTGCTATATTGGACTGGATAGTTGTAATTAACTTTACGGGTGCCTTTTGGCATGGACTTCACGCATGTGAGTAATGTAGCTGTGCCAGAAGGAAATTAACTGCATTCTGAATTGGTCAGGGCTTGTTAACACCAAGAGATGCAGCCCTTTTGCTGATACTGGTTTACCAACTTTTTGTGATAGCTGTCTTGTCTTTGAATGTTTCTTACAAATTTAAACTGTGCCTCTGAAGATTATTTTATGTGAAGAATTTTAAATAATGTTATAGATATTCATGTATGTGCATTTGTGTATGTGTTCTTCATACATACCAGTTTTGGGCATGTTTTTATAAGCAATGGAAGGTAAAGAAACTGTTCTCTTAGAAATTAAATTAGTTAAAAGAAAGTTCTTCGATACACAGAGTGGCCAATACAGCTGAACTGAGCCTCCCTTCCTATGCAACAGGAGTGTTGAGTATAGAAGTTGATCTAGTCTTCAGTTTTATGCAGAGGTGATAAAAATTGCTGCAAAGAACAGCAAGTTCTTATTTCCAGCTAACTTTATAATTAGTTGAAAGCAACTAAGATGAAGGAAAAACTTTTCTCTTTTGATAGTTTTTTGTAGTAGTATGCATGAGTTGTTAATTCACACTTTCTTTCCTTTCCATTGATGTCTCCATGATAATTATAATAATTTTAACTTCATTGCCTTTGATACCCCACCATGGCATTCCCAACTAATTCAGCAAGCTGGAGACTGGTTGGTGCTTTTTCTGCCAGACTTTACATTTGAAATGGCGAGCTACCTTCCACCTTGTTTTAATTCCTTCTTCCTCTGGGCACGTAAAATCAATGATATGAATTGTTCCTGAAACGTGATTCTAATTTTCTCTGTGGTGGCTCGCCTAGGAAATATACCAAAACATGTGGAACTAACTGCGCTGCTTGGAATTGCATGTCTACTGTGTTGTTTTGAGCTCAAAAATCAGGTTCTGTTTTTGTGTACTTGGCATGTGTGCGCAGGCCTCCTCTTAATTGAGCAACCTATTGTCAGTTGAGTAATTGCTTCTTCCAATGGCTCGTCCTGCCAGGTAATGTGAAGTCTGCTGGGAGGCCCTTCGTTCCTCTGCAAAGGTGGATAGGGAGGTATGAAACTGGGTGTACTAAGGTCCATCACAAAAGCTTGGGCTACAAATTATTATGGCAATTATCTTTTGAAATGGGTTTTGTGAAATGAAAGAGAACAACTTTCACGTCTGTTGTTGTCATGTATGTAGTCCTCACCTTTACTGGTCTCTGCCCTGCTTTCTGAAGTTGTTCCTCTGGTAATTGTGGGTCAATAGGAAGTGCCGTGTTTTCATGTTTCAGCTGCCTGCCTTAGGTGCAATGCCAGGACCAGCTCTTAGGTGCTGCCACTGTAGCAGCTGTGACCCATCTTTCTTCGATGTCTTCCCATTACAGTCCCCCTTCAGACCCTGCTTTCTTACCCTTACGATAAATTCCGCAGGCGGTGGTAGTTGCAAAAGGCTGAAGTGGTGAGAATAGAGGGAAGGAAGAACGAGGGGTGTGTTGGGGAGTAAATCAGCAAGTGAACTACAGGTGAGCACAAAAAGACACGTGCTCTGCTGCAGAAGGAAGAGGGGACAATTGCCTGAGGGGATGCTCTCCTCAGCACCTCCTCTGAGGTGCCTGTAGGTACAAGTGGTATACTTTCCTTGGATAATCCTAGCTTGGGCTTAACCTGCAGTGCTGCCTAAGGACACGGGGGTTGTGCTTTAACTTAATTGTTGTGATGTTGAGGGTTTTTGGTTCCATCTCCCCTACGCACACATACCCAATAACTTGCAGGTTGGAGCCCTGAAATCCTAGCATTTTGCTCTGCTGTGGTGGGATGCAGCTCAGTGAAGTACAAAACCTTGCATTTAGGAGTAATTGGCTAGAGGACAAGTAGGTACTACTGGTCAGGCAGAAAATGAAGAAAGGGGAACATCTGACTTGTCAGCAGCTTGGCAGGAAAGGATCTGATGTTTTTGGGAATGGCGAGCTGAAAGCAAGTCAGTGACTATGGTGCTGTGAAAAAGGTAAGGGGCATCCTAGGGTATAAAGCAGGAATTTAGCCAGTGAAATGCAATGAACTTGGTATCTTCTGTACTAGTGCGGCTTCTTCTGGGTTTTTGCATCCCATTTTTGTCCACATTTCAAGGGAGAATGGAGGAAGATAAGAAAAACCAAAACTTTAGGAATCTGTGAGACCTCTTCCCTGTATGACTTAGTAACATCATCACTTCAGAGTAAATGCAACTTGTGTGATGTTAACCAGAAAAATGAATATTCTAGACATAGGGTAGCAAATGCAATCAGGAATGTCTCCATCCCAGGTTTCTAGCAGACTAAACGCCGGTTTTGGGCCTTACAGCTCTGATCTTTTGCCCCTGCAGAGACCAGAGTGCTGAGCTGGAGTGCTCCTGAGCTGGAGCTGCTGGCTGTGGGCATTGGAGGCTTAGCAGCCTGCTGACTGCGAGGGACTGGCCACAGAAACCGCTTAGTCTAGTCTCTGGGTCATTTCAAGGTCCTGCTCTTAATCTTCAAAGACTTAATTTTCTGAGATTAGGCTACCTCAGGACCTGCATCTCTGCCATGCCCAGGCTGCTGTGCTCATTAGGGTCACTGAAGCTTGCTGAACTCTGAATGAAGGATTTAGTAGCTGGATATTCATGGCATTTATAACATTTTAGATCCTAAGCTGTGGAAACTCCTGTTTATGAGTAATGAGAATGTCCTGCAATCTGGCTGTTTTCCCTTGTGTTCCTGTTTGCCCAGGTAAAACTGTGAAGATTTTTTTTTTTAAACACACTGGTGAAAGGAGACATAAATAAACAAACAAACCACAGAGGAAATACATTCTTACAAATTTTTATTGGTGTGAGAGGCTACAGGTATCTGTTTTCTCTTAGAAGGATTGGGTGAGTGTAGTGAAAAATGAGAAGGATTTTTCTTCAAGGGGGAAGAGGAGGATGGTGGCAGTTGGGCTGGAGGTTTATGATGTGTATCTGTAAATAGCAAGTATAAGAAACACATGCACTCATACACAATTTCAAATGAATCCTCTTCCATTATTAAATATAATGAAAAGAGGCTTTTGGTAGTTGCTATCCACTCCAGCAGAATCTAAACTTCTGTTTAGGGAAGGAGAAAACCCAACATGCGTGCCCTCTTACCTTGTAGGGCTGACTGAGCAAAACGTGGACAGACACAGGACTGTTTTCCTGTGTCCACAACTCTCTCTGCTGCCATTTGCACCTTTGGGAATAGCGGTGGGATTCAGGAGAATCAGACTTTTTTTTTACATGGTTTTTTTTTGGGGGGGGGGGGGAAACGGACGGGACATGGGACAGTGAGGATGAACAGCTGGCCAAGCAATGAGGCTGGCCCTGCAGAAGGTGTCATGACCTTGGGGTCGTGAAGAAGAGCAAGTAGGAAATGGGTCAAGAAGAGCATGTAGGAAAACTGCCTTTCTTTTAAAGTTTGGCATGTATTCATGGTTTGTTTGCTTGTTGTGGTTTTGGTGTGGTGTTCCACCTCCCCCCTGCCCCTGCTGCCTTGCTCCCACCACAAGTTACTTTGTGGATGCTTAATTGTGTGAGGAGGTAACATGGAAGTAGTTTAGGTGGGCTGGCTGTTTTGTTACAGTGCCCGTGACAGGTAATGCTCTTTTCCTTTGTTTACTTGTGATTTCTATAGAGCGAGCAAGAATTGTCAGGAAGTTTATGTGTTTAAATTACCATATAATTGCCCAAGTTCTTTTTATGGGCATGTCTTAACAGGCCCTAATGGTAGCCCACAAGGTAGCGCAGTCCTAAACTCTGGAACACAAAAATGTCAGACAGCATGTGGTGAGCAATGGAGATTTCCTCGGGGAATACGTTTTCAAGACTTCTGTTCAGCAGATAGATTGTTTTAA